AGGATGGCTGCTAACCTCCACTGCAAGGACAGCTTGGAGGGGTGTGAAAAAGCGGAGCAGATGAACCGGTGTAACTTTCTGGTTTAGCCCATGACAAAGAACACACGTCACTCCCTCGTGCAAGTAGCTGGGGTGGTTCAGCCAAGAGCTGCTCAAGTGTCCATGTCCAAGCCATGGAAAATCTTTATTCTTCACAGTGAGATACTTCATCTTGTTAAATATGGCTACTGCTTTGGATAAGTTGTGAAACAGCAATATGATTGCTGACATTTTTAAGAATGGTGAGTTCTTGGATGTAAAATATATTTAATATTGCAATGATATGTATGCCAAAATAATGGCAAATATTTTTTAACCTACTTTCTTGAGACTTAGGCCCACAGATATTTCAGGAGAGCTTTCTTGGGTAGGTGCCATTACAGATCTACGGGAAACCTGGTTTTTGGAAATTTTAACCAGTGCCTAGAACTTGCACAGCACTTTAATTTTTCAAAGTACTGCAGAACTTTCTAAGTCTCGCAGCTCTTTGCCACACAAAGCAAGCATTATCCAAAGAGGAAAACTGTTACACAGCTCTAAAGGGAAGGACCTGGGAATAGTGTGATTTGGAGTTTCTGGCTCCCTCATCGCATGGTCAAAACGCTGTACAAACTTGCTGCTTCAGTTACTTCCACTGTAGAAAGATGGATTCTCTTCTCTTCTCTTTTTTTTTTTTTTTTTTTAAGGAGTACTGTTAAGGGAAATCAGAATCTTTACTCCACAGAGCTTTAAGTTGAGTTAAGCTGAATTAAGTTTAAACCAGCAGCTTCATTCTGCATGTAACTGAATATTCATGAACATAAGAAATCATTCCATGAATTCTATTAATTAACTCCTTCATCCCTGATTTCTTCAGAGTGAAATGCAAAAATAAACCCCTCAATACAAGGGAGCCTGCCAAAGATTAAAAAAATAGAAAAGGCAAAAAAAAAAAGACAAAGTTCTTTCAAAGATATCTCTGCAGACACTGGCTGGTTTTCTGAAAGGTGAACTTTCTCATTCTACAGAAAATTATCCCTGATATTGCCTGTGCTATTTTAATGTCTCCTCATGACCCCAGCTTCACTGAAAATATGGTTAGGGGAAAAAAAAAAGTTATTTAAAAGCAGATTCATTGAAAAGCAAACCAAAACCAATGAATGATTTAGAACCATCTTCATGGACAGGACATATATTTTCCACAGGTAAAGCCATGCTGAGCATGGTAATGCTTCAAATGTTGGTGGATTGCATTGTGTTAAAAGGGTGACTATGATATTAGTTCATATGAGACCCAATGTGCTGCATGTCTACCAGATAAACCCCAGGGTACTGATTTAGGGCATAAGAGATGATGGTGAAGGATGTATCTGGTTATAAAAGGAAATGAAAGACCCTGGTGTACACAGGGAATATGGCATTGTGGACTACTATAAATGTATTGGGAAAGTGTGTGGACAGCATCCTCTGTCCAGCACTATAGCATATTAAGGATGTTTAACTTAACCCACATTTCTACAGCCCACTCCTGTGTTGAAATTTACCAGCTAGTCTTGCCATGGCAGTGAGCTAAACCCAAACCCTGGGTCATAGCGTCGTCCTCCTGCCGGGGTGTGCAGAGGGGACCGTGGAGGCCACTGGCCTCTCTCTGCAGCCTGATCCTGCGGGCTCAGTCACAAGGCAAGCAAGGGTTTGGGAAGTGTCACAAATCTGGGGGCGTCCCCTTTCCCTCCAGGAAATCCTGCTAAAGGGGGTCACGGCTTAGGTAGCATGAGTGAAATGCTGCGATTTTCCCCATTTCCTTCCCCTGCACAGGATGGTGGAAGAATCTCAGTGTGCCAGCTGATTGCTCACTATTGCCAAAACCACCACTCTCCACCAAGAGCTTCATGGGATGGAGAAGGTGGAAAGCCCAGGTGTTACAGCACTGTCGACTTACACAGTGGGTAGCATGTGTTCCTGAACAGAGGATCTAGTGAGCTTCTCAGGGACACCTAGTGTTACAGACGGTCTTTTAGGAATTCAGGCTCTGAGGTCTTCCCTGTCACCATCAGATCCTGCACTGATCATACAAAAACAGAGTCACCGAGCATGCGGTGCTTTTGCTGGTGTTAACAGAAGGCTTAAGTGTACCAGGACTGTACAAATAGGTCCTTAAGTTTGTTTCTAGAAAGTATGTGTTAATAGCTTCTCAATTTGTGTTCAATGTCCTTAGAGTTAACTTTGTGCAATCTTCTTCTCCAGGTCTTTCACTTCCGCTTTCCTCTTCTCCATTGAAGTTCAGGTGACCATTGGTTTTGGGGGCAGGATGATGACAGAGGAATGTCCCTTGGCCATCACGGTCTTGATCCTGCAGAACATTGTGGGTCTGATCATCAATGCTGTCATGCTGGGCTGCATATTCATGAAAACCGCACAAGCTCACAGGCGGGCTGAGACCTTGATTTTCAGCCGGCAGGCGGTAATTGCAGTTCGAAATGGCAAACTTTGCTTCATGTTTCGAGTGGGAGACCTGAGGAAGAGCATGATCATTAGCGCCTCAGTGAGAATCCAGGTTGTGAGGAAGACTACGACCCCTGAAGGAGAAGTCATACCCATTCACCAAGTAGATATCCCTGTGGATAACCCCATTGAAAGCAACAATATCTTCCTCGTGGCTCCCTTAATCATTTGTCATGTCATAGACAAGCGGAGTCCTCTTTATGATATCTCCGCTGCTGACCTGGCGCTCCAGGACCTGGAGCTCATCGTGATACTTGAAGGAGTCGTAGAAACGACTGGCATCACGACGCAGGCGAGAACCTCCTACATAGCAGAGGAGATCCTGTGGGGTCATCGTTTTGTGCCCATCGTCACCGAAGAGGAAGGCGTGTACGCAGTCGACTACTCCAAGTTTGGCAACACCATCAAAGTGGCAGCACCACGCTGCAGCGCTCGAGAGCTCGACGAGAAGCCGTCCATTCTCATCCAGACCTTGCAGAAGAGTGAGCTGTCCCACCAAAACTCTCTGCGGAAACGCAACTCCATGAGGAGAAACAACTCCATTCGGAGGAGCAACTCCATGCGGAGAACGAACCCCTCCCTCATCGTGCCCAAAGTGCAGTTTATCACGCCTGAGGGGAACCAGAGTGCTTCAGAAACGTGATACACAGCTCTGTGCGAGGTCAGTGGGCTTCAGAAGGAGAAGGCACCCATGGTGTTTTGTTTAAATTTTCTCTTACTTAAGAAAATGAGAACATGATGCAGAAAAGAACCGTGCAAGAACTATTTATTCTATTACTTACTGAAAGCACCACCTAATGGCATTAGGAAACACTTTAGCACTTAGTGTATGAATTAATTAAAAATGGCACGTACACTAAAGAAAACACAGTTCACTCATGTAATATAATGTGTATTTATACTTGGTTTAATGGCATGCTAATTTTTTTAATCTTATTTTTCCTATCCAGGGTCTCTTTCTTATCTTTTTCTGCTGGCTGTCACAAAATGTGGGTTTTTTTCTATGTAAGTGGGTTACCCCCCTGCAGGCAGAAGTGAGTGCTTTTTCAAAGCTGCTGCATACAACAGCTCCCACAGATTTTGTGCAGGATATTTGGATATCGATCTTTTTGGGGTGAATTCCTTGTTCTGTTGAAAGGAGTAGATAAATTCCTCAATGATTTCACTGGAGAAGAGCCAGGATTTTACCTTCAGTTTTTCAGATCTTCTCTCCGTTGGCTTATGGCAAAGGCATTTTGAGAGCAAGTTCAGGTCAGCTGAAGTGACCTGACCACCCCAGAGGAAAACTGGTGGCGTTCAGCGCAGCACCGGCAGAAGAACCAGTGAAACGGCACGGCCTCTTGCAGAGCACTGCTCTTCTTCTCAGGGTGAGATACTCCACTGCGGGACAGCGTACATCTGTAACGTAGCTGTAGCCCAAGCTGAGAAACTCAAGTCCTCTCAGCTGTCACCTGAGCATCCATTTCACTGAAATTATTCAAGTTGAAAAAAGCACATGCCTCTTTAACATCCTCTTCATGTCAGTGGAGGACCAAATCCTGGTGTTTTTTTCTCTTATAGATTCATACACTGAAGGCAACAAGTGTACTTCCTTCACTTACAGTATTTTTTGTAGGATTAAGTCTGTTTGCTTCAGCAGAAGGTTACTTTTTGCTGGTGGGAATTCACGAATGGGAATGAGAGGGAACCATACCAATAATATTAAAGATAGTATTTTCAAAACTGTCCGAATAATTTTCAGGGGGACTTGGGTGCTGCTGCTGAATTACCATCAGTGCTTCACCTATGTTTTTAAATGACAATGGCATTGAGAATTGGTGGTAAGCAGCTCTTCTCTTAAAATTCAAATGGGCATTTGTTATCTAGAGCCTTCCCAAAAATGTCATCACAATTTTTTCTACAAGAATAAATAAATGTTTGACAACTAATTATAGCACATTTGATAATGCTAAATTGATGCATGCTTTTTTCCTCTGTGAATAAGAAGTATAATTATGGACAAATTCCAGTTCAAATTTCTTATAGGAGTTGCCTTATTATGTCTGTGGCTCAAGAGAAGTACTATCACTGTGCTGATTCTCCGAGCCACTCAACCACGTAAATACTTTTATAATTTTAAATATTTGCTTATTCCTATCAGGTAAAATAGTCAAAAGCAATGGTGGATTCTCATTCTCTTTGGAATCAGTTCATCAGCACTTGTATGGACGGTTTGCACGCTTTGTGTGGTGTTGGGGGGTGGCATGGAGGGGCATTGCTCTGTAGCGTAGGCTCCCTACATTTGGAGCAGGTGCTCTTCAGAAAATAAACACTCGCAAAATACTTTGTCTGAAGCAGTAGCGGAAACCGAAGTTTCTGCTAAAAGCATTCATTCCCTGGCCTGCCCCTTAATGTTCTGGGAGGATGGATGGTGAACATCTGGAGACATTAATCTGTCCATTGTGTGTCCAAACAACGAACATCTGTAGCTTCCAAGAAGAGTCATAGCGAAGTATATACAATTTGTCTCTGGCACCCATTTCCAGGGCTGTGAATTTCTTTGAGGCTGTCTGTTTGATAAATGGTTAAGTCAGATGCTGTACAAAACCAAATTTTCTACAAAATAAAAAAGTGACAATAATGATTATTTCTTTCCCTTTTTTTCTTCGTGTTCTCCATTCATTCTTCTATACTTTTAGTCTTTCTTGTATCCCAGCCTTTTCCATGGTCCTTTTGAGCAATAATTTGATATTATCTGAATACTGTCTCAGTATTTCGGCTGAGATTTTTTTTACCCACAAGCATTTTCTCATTTTCTCCTTAAGTACAGTCTTCCTTCCAATTTTTATTTCGCCTTCATGTCTCTCTCTGCTTTACACCTAATGTACTCTCTTTCCTGTAAGGTTATTACAGGGATATTGGTATTTTGAGGTAACACTAAGGCACGTCAGTCACATGCAAGGATGCTGAACAGACACACAAGGCAGACCCTTGTGTCATGCACGTCATGTTCATATGTGCTGTGCTCCTGCTCCTTGCAGGAAATCCCTTAGTGCAAAGCCCCTTTCTTGAGCAAGTTTTGCAGTCCTGGAAGAAGCCGGCAGCAGAAGCAGCTGGGGTAAGCCACCCAGCTGGCCGTGGAGAGAGGTGGGGATGTTTTGGGGCTGGGAGCTGCGTTCCTCACTGAAGGACAGGTTTCAGACCCAGCTTTGCAACATTGTGCCTGCCGAGAGGGGATGAGCTGGCAGCACCACGGTTCAATATGTTTAATTATTTATTCTTCCTGGCAACGTTATCAGATTAAAAGGGCATCATTTTAAATCTGAAGTTTTCTGTGTTTAAAGTACACTGTCAAGAATGACAGTTGAGATTTCTACCAAATACTGCTGACAGTTCATGCTGGTATTTACCCATCCATCCCTCTCATTGATAATAAGTTAGAAAATTAGAAGTAATAATGTATAAGCATCATCTGACTGCCATCCCTTCGCGCTTATTTGTGTCCCTACGATTCCCATCCCCCTATAATATGGTGTAACTGGAACTGCGTTATTCGACATCGCTTATTCCGTGCATTTAATATGCTTTGGCTCTGTGAACAGCCTACCAGGCAGATGTCAATGTCACTGGTGTAGCCTTCTGTGGGGAGCAAAACTATTTCCTGAGAGTAGAAAAGTGATTATAAAGTCCTTCCAGGACAGGCGTAATATCTGGAACTGCAATTTATTTTTTCTTTCTAGCCTTAACTTAAAGAATTTCTCTATTTTAAACAGAAAAATGGCAGTGAGACTCTTTGTCCTCTCTTTGGATACCCAGAAGATTCAGAGTTACCGTGGAGGGGACGTAGAGAGCAAACAAACACACAGACGCTTACTGGGGATATAAAGCTTAATGCTCCAGGGTTGAAGCCAACCTCTGAGTAATAGGATTTGGAGGAAATTTTCCCTGTTGGCAGGTTATTCTGTAGCTGTCACCTTCAGGATTTCTTGCGCTCTCTTTCGAAACATCTGCTGCAAGCCAGGAACAGAGGCAGGACCCCGGCATGGGCGCACCCTGAGTCGGGCGGGTAAATCAGGTCACTGCAGGAGGGCTGTCAAACTGCAAACACAAGGGCTCTTCCTTTCCTCCCGCCCAGAGCGATGCCATCAAAACCTGCAGAGAAGCCAGCCACTGGAGACCCCCAGCTGCAGCCAAGGCTTACCAGGATGTGCAACATACGGTCATTGAGTGCTGCCCAGAGCCCAAAAAGTCTGGCTCCAGGGAGGAGCCCTCAGCGCCCATGGCACGGAGGAGAGTGCTGCCAAACCAGACAGGGCTCGATGTGGGGTTTGGGGCTGCCTGCTGGAGGGGGTAACTTGGCTAAGCGGGGCTGCCGGGGTGGTCTGCACTGGAAGCAAGGCAGCAGGGTTGCCCTTCAAGCCTAGGCTGGACCAGGGCTGCTGAAGATACAAGCAGGATAGGCACCTAAGCATTAAAAGCTAATGGAAGTGGGATCATGACTCAACGAGCAATAACTGGGTGTATTTTGGATGCCCTGGGGCACCCTATCTGGCCCCCACAGCTGCTCAGACGGCCACTGGTCTCCCGTCAGGGCATGACACTCCTGCCCACTCAAAGCACCCCTCTTTGGCACCCTCCAGTGCACCCAGCTGCATCCTGCTCTGCGTACAAAACCCCCCTAAAGCCTGCTGCAGGCCACGCTTTGAACCTCTCCGTAACACTTGGTATCACTGTGGCCTTGTAAAACGATCCCCCTCCTGAGTATTGCTTCACAGGCACATGTTGCACCACAGCAGTTTGCCCTTGTGAATACAACTGCTTGGCTCCATCCACAGAAGGGTTAACCCAAGCTTTCTGGGATACGCAAGACATTATCCAGCAAGAGAGCAAGAAGTATATTCAGATTTAGTTAATACCCATGTATGCAATAGAACTTTACCCTAATGCCATGTCTTACTGTAGTCCATTGGGTCATTTCAGAGGCACAAGACTCGACTTACCTCACAGCCATCTTGAATGTATTTCACAAAAGCACGCGCATTTATCTATATTGCATAAAGTTCAGGCAAGGAATCATACTTTTACTTTTCCATCTGGAAAGCAGTATGTGTACACCATTCTTGCTGACTGAAAAAACATGGCTAATTCTGCATATCTTTTCTTCCTTTACAAACTAAGATTGAGGACATTTTGTGAAACCAGTTTCCAAGCTCTCCAGTGATTATTATTAGCAAATGCTTGTTGTTGCAGGCTGAAAAAGTAATTAGTCCAAGACCAGAAAGGAACTTTGGCTGGAGAAAAAAAACATTAGATATTATATGATGAAAGGAACAAAGCTTTCATTATGTTTGACAAATTATATTCTCTGCGTAGCCTGATATTTTCAAAACACTGGTGGGGGTTTGGAAGGCACTGTCAAGCAATAAATCATGTCCTGCTAGACTCTGATTTTGTGCTGTGCTACTAGTAGCAACAGGGTTTTGTAGCCCCAGCACGGCATCCTACAAGTGTGCATCAGCCTGGTCCCCGCATGCTTGCAGTCACCAAACACAATGCTGGGGATCCGCGGTGAGCTGGGTGGTGGCTGACTCCAGGAGCTGTGGTCACCAGACTCTATTGGGAGTGATACTGGGTTGGGGCTGAAGGCAGCACGGACCCTGGTGTCAGTGCCCTGGGTTGGTGACTTGTCCCCAGGAGTAGACTGGGAAGCGGTGTGGCCTCCCAGGTGCTTTGGACAATGTCCTTCACAGGAAGGCGTCGTTCTTCATGTCAAGCTGATGGGGGACACTCTTGCTGTGTGTGATGGATGGCAGCGAAATACAAAATGATGGAGTAAATTCCCATTTCTCTAAACCTGATTTCCTGGTCTGTTTGCTTGCATAGCCAGGTGAGAGTTAAATTTTTCTCCCCCAAATGCTTATGTTAAAATATATTTTCCAATAAGTGTGTTTACATCACATCCAGACTAATCTAAGCTGATAGGCAAGAATTTCTAATAGCCCTAGCGTATTAATAATGCTTCTCAGCCCTATCTCTCTGAATTATGTTTCCTACTTCCCCCTAAGAATTCTTTGAACTTGAAAAAAGAAAAAAGATTTCTCATGTGATAACTGGACAGTAAAGATAAAATATGTTCCCACATTCCCTTATTGGACAGTGTAGAGGGATTTAGCCCATAGAGACGAGATCAGTGCTGTCCAAGAGAAACAGCCACTGAGATTGAGGCATTCACAGTCAGGACACATCACCAAGGGGCTTGGATTAAAAGAAATGTTTAAAAATACTAAGTATTCAGTAGATTTCTGGCTGAGAACTCTCCTTTTAGACCACTGATGAGTTATCGGTTAACAGTGAAGGGAATATGCTAGGACCATCAAGACATACTACAATGTAAGAAAGACAAAAAACATGCATTCAAGGAAAACATTGTCCATACTTTAGTTATTGCTACCAGTACTTTCAACATTTAGGTTGTTAAAAATTCAAAGAGGCAAACAAAAAAGTGATAAATTCTCTCTTCACCTTTAACAAAGGTTTAACACATGATTTTTTTTACTTCTACTCTGAAAAAGTGTTGATCCAACTGAAGACATTACTTCTGTCCACAAACATGCTGTAGTTTTCTGGAGGATACGTGTTAGTCTCAACACACTTTTCTGGGCTCAGTGCAGGAGTAGCTGTGCATGATGTCATGGCCTGTGCTTCTCAGGAGGTCAGACAGGATGATCTAATGGTCCCTTCTGCACTCCAAATTTATGAATAGGGAGGGCTAATGAGTCTTGGTCAAGAGAAAGGCTTCTTCTGATTAAAAGTCTTAAATTAAGCTCCCACTGAGGAAACAAACATTGGGGAAAAAAAAAAAACGGGGTTAGGCATCCCCAGATTGTTGATTTATTTTGACAAATGCATTTCAGTGCTAATTACGGATCCTTTAAACAGTACTGACAAATGTCCCTGGGGATAATTTGTAAAAATTAGGGTATCTTATCGTTACAGGAGTTTACTTTGCTTCCTACTGTTGTTAAATTTTGGCTTAGTAGCAAGGATGAGAAAGCCAGCTTCTGTGTGGGCCAAAGTGAAATTATATTTCTTGGTTTTATGGTCTGAGGTCTACTGCAAAGATCATTAAATTGAGGAATGGCACTGGAGTGACTGCAAAGGGCTGTTGCGGTTTGGGGCTCAGTGTCTTCCTCACCCAGGGAACACCACTGCTCTCCTCAAGCACTATTTTTGTAACCACAATAGCCACGAAAATTGATTGCATCCTTCCATGGCCCAGCCTCATTATCCTTCAGGGTATCTTTTTTGATGTTAGGTCTTTTATTCTGGGTGATCCGGGTTGATCTGTCAAAAAGGGGTTGCTTCTGCTGACTGTCATGGTTTTCAGATTCAGTCAAGGCCAGGACATAAAGCAAAACTGAAGGGTTGCAACACCCAGTAAAAGAAACTCTGCTGAGTTTGAGCGAGAGCAAGTGATAATTGTTAGCCCCTTGGGTGGTCAGCTTTGCGTCTCATAGCATTTCAAAAATATATCAAATAATAAAAGATGTTCTATGCTCATCCTTAGCTAGCGTTTTAAATTATGTTATAAACAGATACTATTCCTGGCCAATCAGATTAAATTGC